TGGGGGATTGAACCGCGGTCCCTGTGCGTTGCCAAGCTTGTTCCAAGTAGGCGCTTTAGACCACTGAGCCATCTCACCAGCCCAAATGGTTTCTTTTTCTTTCTTTTTTTTGTAGAACCAGGGATCAGGGATTGAACTCAGGCCCTTGCACTTGCTAAACAAGCACTTATTCTACTGAGCCATCTCCCTGGCCAATATAAATTTTTTAAATGGAGCTGGGGACTCGGCCCAATGACGGAACATTTACATAGTGAAAGCTCGGCTTGGGGCTGGCGAGATGGCTCAGCGGTCTAAAGCACCTACTTAGAACAAGCTTAGCAAAGCACAGGGACCGCGGTTCGATCCCCCAGCCCCACATGCCAGCCAGCCCCGCCCCCTGGTGGGCTGAGCTGGCCGCGCGCGCGCACACACACACAACACACACACATAAATAAAAAAATTAAAAAAAAATTAAAAAAAAAAAGAAAGCTCGGCTTAAATCACAAGCACTAAAATAAAATAAAATAAAATAACAGAATTCAACTTGCCTTTCGTTGGGGAGGGGTAGCTGAGACAGAATCTCGCTGTATGCAGACTAGCTTTGAACTGGCCTTCCTCCTGCCTCTAACTCCCAAGTGCAGGGTCACTCGCGGGGGTGCACCACTGGGCCCAGCTTTGCCTTTTCGTGGGGATCGTCATGGGGGCTGAACCCAGAGCCTTCACAAGGAGCCGCAGCCTCAGCCCACCCACCTTCGTTTTCACTTTTGAGACAGGGTCTTAATACACTGCCCAGGCTGGGCTAGATAGAACTTGTGACTCTCCTACCTCAGCCTGCCCGAGTGCTGGGATTACAGATGTGTGCCACCACATCTATTTTTATGTAATAACGTCTTGAGTGCTTCTGCACATCAGTCCCAAAGACCTCTCTTTTTCCCAAAAGTCATTTTCCCTTTTGCTCCCTGCCACCACCCGTAGGAAACGCTTCTTAGATTTTGATCTTCCTTCCAGCATTGCCTTCTGCTAGCCAAATAAAATTGCATGTAACATTTTCTATCAAAAATAAAAAATAAAAAAGCCTCACATACACTATTCATCCCCTACCCCAACAAGTCATCCTGGTTTCCATTATGCAGGGCATAGACGCTCCTCCAGTCCCTTTTTCTGGCTGCATAGCACTCCGCTCTACTGTGGCTCTACTGTGGCTCTATGCTTTATTGGCTCAGAGCCCTGCGATGGGCATTCCATGCGTTTCCAAATCTTCTGAAACTGAAGCACACTACCAGCATGAATATCCTCTTACAAACTGGCTCTTCTATTTTTACCAGAGCAACTTCAGGATGGACTCCTGGAAGTGAAGTTTCTGGGCCAATGAGTTCATGCTAGCTAAGTAGAAAACACAGAATGCAGCCTGCGCCCCCCCTGCCCCCAGGGAGCGCTGGGGGCCACCCACAGTTCAGTCAACAGAGCTTATGGACGGTCTCTGGGGTCCTGCCGGCCTAGTTTTCATCCCAGTGTCGTTTGTATTCTGTTAATGCACGGGTGCCGCCAAGAGGTTCAGACTGCCCCTCCCTGCCTTTATTTGCTTGTTTGTTTGTTGTGGTGCTAAGTTGACCGGCTGGGACTCAAATGTGCAACTTCCTGCCTCAGCCTCCTCAGGGCTGGAGTGTGGCGTGTGCCGCACCCAGCGGATGTGGGGCGATGTGTTCAGCACTTCGCTATTCAGTGTTTTCCTTTTATCTCTGTTTGTAGCTACTGCTTCTTTTCTGCTTTCCTTTCCATCCACCTTTTTTTTTTTTTTTTAAGGCAGGATCTCACCAGGTAGCCCAGGCTGTCCTTGAACTCACTTGTGTAGCCCAGGCTGGCCTCAGGCTTATGACAGTCCTCCTGCCTCAGCTTCCCAAGTACTGAGATTATAGGCGTGCACCACCACTCCCGGTACTCTTTTTTTTTTTTTT